AGGAGCCTCACACTGTGGTGACAGTGATAGTGGATGCTGATATTGATGCTTTGCCCGCAATAGAGCAATTATCCCTACTGGACAGGATTGTGGAACATTTAGGTCTAACCCATGAAATGGTTTCCATGCTACCAGTCGGAGACAAACCCATGTTTGATAGCTCGGCCATAGTTCAGGGTCATGGAGATGTTAGAGTTCCAAAAACCTCAGGTCTTTTCATCTCTTGGCTGGTTGGTTGTGGAAAGGTAGAGTCAGATCACTTGCCAATTCTACAGAATTTAGAGTCGTCAGCCTCCAAGGGTGTTATGGCTGAGGCTCTTGGTCATTCTATAATTGGCTACCATGTCACAAACAACCAGTTTAAGGAAAAAGCTAGGAAAAAACGACAAGCTCCAAGGATTACGGCCACTCCCACTCTGACTATGGCTCCTCCAACACAGTTGCCTACAGAGACTCTTACTATGTTAGATTCAGTGACATACACTGACATGCTGACCAGACCATTTCCTACAATGGCTTCGCTTTCTATAACTGTCCAGCCTTCACAGGCAACAGTTGTTCAACCAGATAAGACCATAGACATATCTGCAACTATAGCTCCTTCGGAATCACTCAAAATATCGATGAGTACAAGAGATATGACAAAGCTGTTAATGACCACAACAGATATTCTTCCGTCAAAGACATTTGCCATGACCTCCAAAGCTTCCACATCCACCATGGTCATGCCAACTTCAACCATCATCACAATGTCAACCACTGCCAGTACAGTTCTTACTACCAAACCAACTACAGAATCAACAAGTAGAACAACTACCAAGGTGACAACTCAAACACCTACTCCCATGGTGATAACCCAAGCACCAACTCCCAAACCAACATCCAAAGAGCCCACTACCAAACCAACCACCACCAAAGAGCCAACTATAAGACCAACACCTCCACCACCATGTTCTGTGCCATCAAATCCCACAGTAGATGAATACATCCAACAATTAACCTTCCAAGCAGGAGAGGTTATCAGGTACAAGATTCCTCGGAATGCCTTTGAAGACTGTGATGGTGATGCCTATAGTCTGTTTTTGGAAGTCACATTGGATGGACAAGAATTGCCATCAGACTTTTGGTTACAGTATGATTCACAGAAACACCAATTGAAAGGACTCCCTCTGGATAAAGATGCTGGTACACATAAATTTGAACTTACTGCTGTAAATTCCAATAATTTGGAGGAATCTCAGTCATTTATGATTATTGTACAAAGTGCAGATACACAAAAGGGAGCAGCAAACCACGAGATCCTCTTGAAATTTGAAAATGATTATGATGAATTCATGAACGATGTGAATAACAGGATTAATCTGGTCAACAAGATTTCCAAATTATACGGGGATAAAAACACAAAGATGATGACTGTTACAAGAATTAACAAGGGATCTATTGAGGTATTTTTTATGAATAATTCTCTTACATGGGATTCCTGTCCAGCAGATGCAATTACCAGTCTTGCCAGTAGAGTTATCATGGACAATGGATCCTTAAGTCAGGATGCTGTTAATGAAATGAAGCCATTCAATTTGCAAGCAGCTGCAGTGATACCTCGTGGTAATTGTGTAAACCATCCCAATTTCCCTAAAAAGGACACTCGTACTCGTCCTGTGTCAAAATCAACCACTGCACCCACTGTTACTTATCACATGCCACCCAAGAAATCATCCGAACAACCAACTCATTCAACAACAGTCCAGATTGCAGCTGCTGGAGCAGGTGGTGGTGATGGTGACATCTGGATAACTACTGTTTTACCAGCAGTTGTTGTTGTTGTTGTTCTGATTATTGCACTTATCATTGCCTGTGTCCTTTATAGAAAAAAGAGAAAGGGGAAAATGAAGCTGGATGAGAAAAATACATACAATAACAAGGGAGTACCAGTTATCTTTGCTGACGAGTTGGATGATAAACCTAATGACTCAACCAGACCTTTGATTATGGATGAGGAGAAGCCTCCCATGCCACCACCAGAATATCAGAGAGCCTCTAGTGAGAGTTCACAATCTACACAACCTATAGATGACAAAAATCACATGCAGCATGAAGACATAGAACTAGAAGATACAGATGTGACATCACCTTTGTACCAACCTCCGCCCCCAGTAACTGCATCAGGCAACAATAAGCCGCCCCCTCCGCATCTTCAACCTTCCAAATATCCTCCCCCATATGTGCCTCCTTAAATATAGGATAATTAACAACATATGTTTACCTTAGATGTACAGAGACTTGTTATAAATTTTTATTGTTGTATGTGGTAAGCATATAATCTGACGCATTAGCTCTCTGATATATCTCTTTTCTCAAGGTACTGGATTTATGAGAAATCTTAAAATGACTGGAAAGCCAGTTTCTTATGTGAGTGCAACTATGCAAAGTTCACTCCATTAAGGCAGTCAATGTTTGGGCAGAATTTGTGCAGATTTTGCCCAGCTTTCGATACTTTTTCACTGTTTACAGATTTCTGCAGTTGGAGTTGAAGATTCTGCAGATTAGATTATCTCCTCTTCAATCTCTCAAATAAGTTTTTCATATTTTATTGAAAATATACAGCACAGATTTATCAGGAGGGATCTTTGTTCAGTACTAAATAACTATTCATAGAAGAGAGTGAGGGGAAATTATGAAAGTAACATATGGAAGAAAATTTAAGAAATATGCTTTAAAAGAATATAAAAATCTGAATTTTGATCCATCATTAGAATTCCCAGCTTTTGTAATTTAAATTCAATAATCTTTGTGTTGGCTTGTCTGAAAACAATCTATTGGATAATATACTTATGAATTTTGTTTGCATTATGATGACACTGAACTGAACCCACATGTTGACAAGAAATTATTTTGTCAAATTATGACATTTTTTTTTCTTCTGAGTTATACGAGTTTTGGTTGTTAGTGTATCGCACATGAATAACAATGCAAAAGAAGGGAAAATATACAAGTGTAGTTCTTTGTATTTCTGTGTTGTGACATTTTCATTCATTATGGCTACTGGCACATGTCTTACATCTGATGTTCCGTTTTAGCTTACCATCATCTTAAGAAATGCAAACTTATTTTATATATAATAACTATGTATACTTCTTTCATAAACTGGTCCATAGAAATTTTGTAATATTGTTATGTACATGTTAAGGAAGGAATAGAGTACAGTATTTTTTTAGTCTTTACTGGTACATGTACCATGAATGACCAAGGTGAACATAGCTATATGCAATCCAGGCAGAAAAAGAAGCAGAATAGTCCAAATATTTCATATGCCATAAAAACTTGAAATAAGACAAATGTGTGTAAGAATAGTTGGATGCTCTTTATATTCGTTTAAACTAAAAAAAAACGTGAAATATTCTTCCATTTAAGAACAATTTGTACATGAAAATTTCCAATATTGTTAGTGTTCATTTTTTCTTCTTCATTTCACTGGCTTACTTAACAATTTCCAGTTAAGGTTTAAGTGACCAATGAAATAGACCAACAATACTTAATACCATTACTTGACATAAACATTTTTAAGGGAACAAGCGCTGCAGAATACCAAAGCCTTATTTAAAAATTGTGAGCCAGTCATTATTGATTTTTTTTACAAATATACCCCATGCCTACCAGTGTTGATATTATTTGCCAAAGACTCTATCACATAAACAATGTATATCATATGTCCTCTGTTTGTAAGTGCATCTAAGGAATGTTCAAGTGTCAATTTGTGTAATGTGTTGACCAATAATTTATCTTTCCTAGTAAGAAAAGTTTTTATTCTGCCCTCATTGATACTGCAAGTATGTCATTTACTCTAGTGTAGAATGCATATCTACCATTAGATATTACTACAGCATATTTGTATACTACAAAGTGCATTGTCATGTTGACTCAAATCTATTGTCACGTAGATCCAGATCTGTCATGCTGACCCAGATCTTTGTCACATAGATCCAGATCTGTCATGCTGACCCAGATCTATTGTTACATAGATCCAGATCTGTCATGCTGACCCAGATCTTTGTCACATAGATCCAGATCTGGCATGTTGACCCAAATCTATTGTTACATAGATCCAGATCTGGCATGCTGACCCAGATCTATTGTTACATAGATCCAGATCTGGCATGCTGACCCAGATCTATTGTTACATAGATCCAGATCTGGCATGCTGACCCAGATCTGTTGTCACATAGATCCAGATCTGGCATACTGACCCAGATCTATTGTTACATAGATCCAGATCTGGCATGCTGACCCAGATCTATTGTTACATAGATCCAGATCTGGCATGCTGACCCAGATCTATTGTTACATAGATCCAGATCTGGCATGCTGACCCAGATCTGGCATGCTGACCCAGATCTTTGTCACATAGATCCAGATCTGGCATGCTGACCCAGATCTATTGTTACATAGATCCAGATCTGGTATGCTGACCCAGATCTATTGTCATTTAGATCAGATCTATTGTTGTGTACAACTTATTCAATAGGTAAATTGACAACACTTGTGTTGATAATTAGCATGCACAGTAATTTCGATTTTGATGAGCAGATTGAACAACAATAATAACAAAACTATGGCAGCCTTCATAAAAATGGAATTTGTATTCCCACCATATATGTGGTCAATTTCTTGGCCTGCTCATCTGTGCAAGTCTTTCGGATAATGGTTGTATGCTTTATACATACTGATGTGACATATATCTGTAGTTTAATTGTATGTATGATATGATATGATTATGATTTTTAACGTAGCTTTAACAATATTTTTGTCATGTCACTACGATATTTGCAATGTGGCAGTTTATAGTGATTTCTAGCACTGGGGCATAATGCTGCAAACATGTAGCATGGTGTCCCACCCAGTCACATTATCCTGACACCAGGCCAACCAGTCGTAACACTAACCTCTTAATGCTGAGCGTCAAGCGAGGCAGCTGTTAGTACCATTTTTGTAAGTCTTTGGTACGACTCGACCAGAAATCTAACCTACACCCTCCCGCATCCGAGGCGGACGCTCTAACCACTAAGTCACCGGGGCGGTTAGCTTAATTGTTAAACAACTACCTTGCACATCAAAACAATTGAAGGACAGTGGAGTTTCGCTGGTTGCTATTTTGAAACACGCAGGGATTCTTGCAGAATATACATCCAACAACTAGAACTAGTTCTCATTGTTGGTTCTCCCTGTTTAGTTTACAGTGTATATTTCACATGTTACATGGATTGCCTATTTGAACTTTACAGAATGGGCTAGTAAATCAGGGTCGTTATGATTTCGCGCCAGTAGAGCTGATCTGAATCGGACAGTGGTTGTACACGGATATGTCTAGGTCTACGCTGTTTAAAGATTAGGTTCATACCTGCACAACTGTGCAATGTGAGAAAACAGTTATCACACACCTTTGATATATCTCATTGTGAGGAAATAGTTATCACATACATGTGATATCCCACATAGTGAGGAAAGATTTTCAAAACTGAAAAATCTGTCTCACTAGAGATCAATTTCTAATTTCTAATCTCACTAGAGATCAATTTCAAATTAGTGTCTTGTTTGTTCCACTGACTACTCCAGCCAAATTGGTACACCCATCCTGGTGCATAATACAGTGCCAGATCTGGGTATGTGCACAATTTAGTTGGCTTCGACTTATAAGTGAATAAATGTTTATGTGAGTGTGTCTGTCTATCTATCCATATATATATATATATATATATATATATATATATATATATATATATATATATATATATATATAGTATATGGCTAAATCAAGTATATACAATAATACAAGTAATGCTATAGGATGATGGAGACTGGCGTGCAGTGGTTAATAGCTATTTTTATTTTCCATCATATTACCTTTATTTTTTTGTTGTACTTCTTAATTTGTTTTGTTTTGTGGGTTTTTTTTTTTTTTTCATTCTGGCATAATTGAGTCACCAATAAAGATTAGTTTTTCAAAAAGTCTCAATATTATTTAGATATTTAGATCTTTTGTTTCGATAGGAAAAACAATAAATGAGATAAAATCATTCAAAACTTGAAATTTTCAAGTGAGGTTTAGTATTCATTTGCATACAGATTATGTTTCAGGTTTCATAACAAATTTGATTAATATAAACGTCAGCAATTGTATAGACTGTATTTTGATAAGCCTACTGCATATTTTTGCATATATACGTGCTTTGTATGTGTGTGTGTGTGTATGTATGTATATATATATATATATATATATATATATATATATATATATATATATATATATATATATATATATATAAACAATTACCATATGTATATTTTATGGAACTACATTATTTTTCATTAATCATTTCCAACCTGAAATGGCGACAATTAGTCGTAATGATTGCTTAAATTGCATATAGAAAATTATATGTAATACAATATATATGTTACAACTTCAAATAAGAATAGAAGATTCAGTACTGTAGGAAGGTCTTTTGAGACTAGTGGTTTTTTTTTTCCCGTTATTATAAGTTTGTTTTATGGTACTGTAATCTCGGCTTTCCTGCATATTTTCGTCAGTGCCACAAAAGTCGAGAACATTAAGAAAAATGTAGTTTTTACTTCTAGTTCAGGTTTTAGATGTCCTTGTATGAAATTTTACACGGAGGGTATATTCATGTATTTGAAAAGGTCATTTAAGATAATTATGAAAGAACGCACTGTTTAAAGATTAGGTTCATACCTGCAAAACTGTGCAATGTGAGGAAATAGTTATCACACACCTGTGATATCTCACATTGTGAGAAAATAGTTATCACATACATGTGATATCCCACATTGTGAGGAAATAGTTATCACATACATGTGATATCCCACATAGAGAGGAAAGATTTATTAAAGATCTGTTGAAACCTTCACTCATCAGAAGCAGATTGCTGTATCCGATTTTAGTTTCGTTCAGATGGTTTTGATTTTTTTTTAACAAATCAAGGATTGAAATGTCTTTTTGTTGACGAATATTGCGTATATACAGAAAGTCATTTATCAAATTTTGATTTTAAAGTGATGTAACTCGTACATATTCAGGAAGAAACCGCTTATCAGAGCCACCTACCCACTGGAATTAGCTTCAAAATAAAATCATTACGATTTATATATTTGCTTTCTCATTTTTGTTGAAGCTGTTTTTTTTTATTTAAGAAGGTGTATTATCAGTTTTTTGAGCTTTTTGTTATGTTTATCTTTGATGTAAATGAACTACATATTCTTCAGAGCAGTGAGTAATCAAAACGGACGATTCTTTATTGTAAGTTGTGTTGTAAAAGGTCCAAGTTTATAATTGTCTCACTTTAGATTTTTTATACAAATGTTTGTGATGCCCTCGCAACATTTATAAAAGTGACAAATGGAATGAAACCAAATTTGGGATCAAGAAGTATATTATTTCTGTTATCTTTGATAAATATTTATAAGCGAAAGTTAAACAATATATAAAAAAAAACAATATTTAACAATCTTACCCATTGATTCGTCCAGCGTTTTGTTTATTTCATTATATTTGCAATTACATATTTTAATTATTTTCAGAGATGGGAATCACTGCATCCGAGAATAACATTTTTTTTTATAAACATTGACGTGCGATTTTTTTCATTTCTGCATAATCGTTCCCACCCCTCCACCTTCTCTCACTCCTGCTTTTACTCACTGCTTTGAAATTTAATAATACACAACTCTACCTGAAAACGGCCATACATAAAATGTCCGTTAAGATGATTTCGTTTGGTGCATTTCCGTGTACAGGTATGCTTGGCTGTAACCCCAGTATATCCCTCGCTATAAAATGCAGCAATTTGTATGGGTCTTTGTGCCCAGTAGTTAGTGCTAGCCAGTATGGTGTTGTGCTGAGCATAACAATATATATATATATATATATATATATATATATATATATATATATATATATATATATATATATATATATATATATATATATTAAGGCTTTGGTATTTTGTGGTTTTCGTGTTATTTTTTAATTGGTTAATTCCAAGGTCTCTGTGAAACTTCTTGGGTTGAAACCAAAACTAATCCTTAACATCCAGTGATGTATCCCTTTTGTTTTTTTCGGAGTAAGGTTTAAAGAATTTCTCTGATCTATGCATATTTTCTTGTAAGCTAATTTTGGATCATATATAATTAATACATAATATTGTCGCCATCAAGGTCTTTCAGATTTTACAAATCGTGCCATCCGACCATAAAATATGACCACGGTTAGTTACTCTTAATAAAATGATGTTTATATAACTTCATCCGCTAAGTTAGAAGTGTTGAATAGAATTTAACACACTTTGACACATAGCGTCCTGGCAAGAAAACTCTGATCTGAAATATTGCTTTCGTAGCATATGCAGTTACGTGATTTTGAAACGAAAATAAATGGAACATACTCCAACAAAAAGCGTGCTACTGACACAGATTCTTGCCCGGATGATCATCAATTGGAACATTGAGCACGTCATTTGCGTAAATGCCTTTCAAGTAAAGTTTGCCAGAGTACTCTCTCTCTCTCTCTCTCTCTCTCTCTCTCTCTCTCTCTCTCTCTCTCTCTCTCTCTCTCTCTCTCTCTCTCTCTCTCTCTCGTGCTTTGGTGTGCTTAAACACAGGGCCTCTGTGGGGTGGGGTCTCATCTTCTTGGCAAAAAAATAATAATAATAAAAAATTACGACCTAGTAAGGGGCCTCATTTGTCCTAAATCCGGCACTGTATATATAACACCATTTTACAACGTAAACTGGCATGACACATAAGGCAGGTCTTGCTTCTTGTTAGGAGCTTATTACCACTTGGGAAGCCACATTTCTAACATTTTCATCAAATTTGTAATATTGGACAAGTTTGATACCGAGAAAGGGGGAGGGTTAAACCATTCAATCGGCACGTTATTTCCAGAATTATAAATAATAAAGCTAAACCATTAGACTACAGGGGCTCTCAGAAAAGGTGATAATAAGATTGTTGATTTTTATTTCGAGTGCATAGGACATGGTCGTGCAATTCTTTTTTAATCACTATCAATTTTATTTTTGATCAGGATTGTAAAATTGTTTTATTCATCAAGATGTTGGACAAATTTGATTACGAGCAAGATCTACATATGGTAATGAAGTAATCTTGTCAGAGTAGCAGAGTTTATTACATCTTCGCTAGTCAAGGTTCCGATAACCCTAACTATGCTATGCCTTAACATATCGAGCAGATATTTCTGAGATTCGGGTCAATGAATTTCATTGGATGCGGCGGAGTGGCCAAGCTTATTACATCATCGCTAGCCAAGGTTCAGAAAACTCTGTCTACACCTTAGCATATATTTCTGACCTTTCGGTCTGTAAATTGCATTGGATCAGGCGGAAGGCCACCGCATCCAGTCAAAATTAAGTTGTTCAAATTTGGATACTGTTCCTACGGGATACAGACAAGGGGAGCACACTACGTGAATGGACTGATAGTTAAGCAATTTTCCAGTGTTCGTCACTGTTTTATAAATTAGTCATGAAAGTTATAAATGTGTGTAATGAAAAACTCGTTGGAGTTAAGTAAGATTGCGCAATAACCTTTTCGATAATAAAAAGACCTCATAATGACGCAAACGTCGAACCTGGTTCTATTTATACTGACTGCATTCATAGTACAAGGTTAGAAGTCTTTGACCACAGAATATGCATTGGACCACATATTGCATTAATTGTTTCTTTATGCAGAGACCATGCATATTAAATATATTATTCTCTCTCTCTCTCTCTCTCTCTCTCTCTCTCTCTCTCTCTCTCTCTCTCTCTCTCTCTCTCTCTCTCTCTCTCTCTCTCTCTCTCTCTCTCTCTCTCTCTCTCTCTCTCTCTCATTAGTGGGCTATTGTGTAAGTAGATTATGAATATTCGAAGCATCTCCTGCTTACATTAAACGTCACAAAATTATTTTCTGATGTGAGGAAATATACATGTATGATCGCTGATGATGCAAAATAGGCAGAAATTGAATAAAAATGCACGCTACTGGTTCTGTTTGTG